TCCTCCCAGCACCCTGAATTCTATTCTGGTTACACAACGTGACTCACACCTATAATCCCAGCACTTTAGAAGGCTGAGGTAGGGAGATCACGCCTATAATCCCAGCATCTTCCAAAGGCTGGGGTGAGCGGATCACCTGAGGTCAGGAGTCCAAGACCAGCCTAACCAACACGGCAAAACCCGTCTCTATGAAAGAATACAAGCTGGGCATGGTGTTCACACCTGTAGTCCCAGCACTTTGGGAGGCCAAGGTGGGAGGATCACGAGGTCAAGGGATCGAGACCATCTTGACCAACATGGTGAAACCCCGTCTCTACTAAAAAAAATACAAAAAGTTAGCCAGGCATGGTGGCACGTGCCTGTAGTCCCAGCTTCTTGGGAGGCTGGGGTGGAAGAATCACTTGAACTGGGAGGTGGAGGTTGCAGTGAGCCGAGATTGCGCCACTACGCTACAGCCTGGTGATAGAGCGAGACTTCGTCTCAAAAAAAAAATATATATATATATATATATCAACCAGGCATACTGGCAGGCGCCTGTAATCCCAGCTGCTCAGGAGGCTGAAGCAGGAGAATCACTTGAACTGGGGCGGTAGCGGTTGCAGTGAGCTGAGATCACACTACTGCACTCCAGCTTGGGAGATACAGCAGCACTCTGTCTCAAATAATAATAATAATAATAATTAGCCAGGCGTGGTGGTGCGCGCCTGTAACCCCAGCTACTCAGGAGGCTGAGGCAGGAGGATCGCTTGAACCTGGGAGGCGGAGGTTGCAGTGAGCCGAGATCGCACTACTGCACTCCAGCCTGGGCAACAGAGCGAGACTCTGTCTCAAAAATAAAAAGTACCATCCCGTGGCAGGGTCACTGCCCATCTCCTCCTCCACCAGGGATACCGGCCCTCTAGAATTCAGGGTGCTGGGAGGATGTGAGCTCCAGCCCCGCCCTGCTCATCCAGCGACACTGAACCGTTTTCCCACGTGTCAGACACGCAGACACCCTGAGCCCCTGGTCCTTTTAAACCAAGTGCTTCCTGGGTTCACTGGGTGCAACAGAGTGATCTCTGGTCCCAGAGGTCTGGGTTCAAAATCCGGACTAGAATGACCCTATGATCCCACGACAGCACTCAGGAACCTACCCAAAGGAGCTGAAAACAGGGGTTCAAACAAAAGCTTGCACTGGGAAGTTCACAGCAGCACAATTCACAAAGCTCTTTTCCACTCCACCCAAGTGTCCAGTGGATGAATGGATAAATAACATGTGGTCCATCAATGAAGTCTTGAGTCTTTTTTTTTTTTCAAGATGGAGTTTTGCTCTGTCGCCCAGGCTGGAGTGCAGTGGCATGATCTCGGCTCACTGCAACCTCCGCCTTCTGGGTTCAAGCAATTCTCCTGCCTCAGCCTCCCAAGTAGCTGGGATTACAGATGCCCGCCACCAGGCCCGACTACTTTTTGTATTTTTAGTAGAGATAGGGTTTCACCATGTTGCCCAGGCTGGTCTTGAACTCCTGACCTCAAGCAATCCACCTGCCTCGGCCTCCCAGAGTGCTGGGTTTACAGGTGTGAGCCGCCGTGCCCTGACTGGAGTCTTATTCAGCCATCAGAAAGACTGAAGTTCTGGCTAGGCGCAGTGGCTCATGCCTGTAATCCCAGCACTTTGGGAGGCCGAGGCAGGCAGATCACTTGAGGTCACGAGTTTGAGACCAGCCTGGCCAACATGGTGAAACCCCATCTTTACTAAAGAATACAAAAATTAGCCGGGCATGGTGGTGCACACCTGTAATCCCCGTGACTCAGGAGGCGAGGCAGGAGAGCTGCCTGAACCCAGGAGGTGGAGGTTACAGTGAGCCAAGATCGTGCCACTGTACTCCAGCCTGGGTGACAGAGTCAGACTCTGTCTCAAAAAAAGAGATTGGACTGATGCATGCCACAACGAGACTGAAACTCAAACACACGTTGCTGAGTTGAAGACACAAAAGGCCATGTATAGTGTGATTCCATTGCTATGAAACGCCCAGACCAGGCAAATCCACAGAGACAGGAAGCAGATTAGTGGTTGCCAAGTGCTGCCAAAAGGGAAATGGGGAGTGGCTGGGGGCTTCCTTTGCAGGAGGATGAAAATATTCTGGAATTGGATCAAGGGCTTGGGTGCACAGTATTGTGAAGGTACTGAAAACTCACTGAATCATTCACCTTAAAGTGGTTCATTTTTTGTTATCTGAATTTCACCTCAATTAAAAAAAAATCCAGTTGGGCTACTTACCAGCTGACAGTGGCCTCTGATTCATGACCCAACTGATAGCGCTGTTGCCAATGAATCACTATGTGCCACAGCTGAGGTTTTAAGCTCCCTCAGGGGGAAGAGACCAGGGCACGTAAACTGCACAATGGTACCACGCCAGCCCGGGTTGGCAGGTTTAACGGGTTTCACACCCTCCCTCTCTCTTTGAATTCACTCTCCTGAGATAGGTCATTTCACATCTGCTCTGGAAGGCTGGGCAGTCAGGAGGCCACACCTGGGCAAAGTGCCTTCTGCACTTCTTAGTTTGCTTGGTTTTGTTTTTGTTTTGTTGTTTGGTTTCGACATGGAGTCTTGCTCTGTCGCCCAGGCTGGAGGGCAGTGGCACGATCTCGGCTCACTGCCACCTTTGCCTCCCGGGTTCAAGCGATCTCCTGCCTTAGCCTCCCAAATAGCTGAGATTCCAGCCACGTGCCACCAAGCCCAGCTAATGTTTGTATTCTTAGTAGAGACAGGGTTTCACCACGTTGGCCAGGCTGGTCTCAAACTCTTGACTTCATGATCTACCCGCCTCAGCCTCCCAAAGTGCTGGAATTACAGGTGTGAGCCACTGTGCTTGGCAATTTTTGTTTTGTTTTTTTGAGATGGAGTCTCACTCTGCAGCCTACACTGGAGTGCAGTGGCATGTTCTCGGCTCACTGCAACCTCCGCCTACCAGGTTCCAGTGATTCTCCTGCCTCAGCCTCCTGAGTAGCTGGGATTATAGGCACCTGCCACCACATCTGGCTAATTATTGTATTTTTAGTAGAGATGGGGTTTCACCATGTTGAACAGGCTGGTCTTGAACCCCTGACCTGAAGTGATGCACTTCCCTCGGCCTCCCAGAGTGCTGGGATTACAGACGTGAGCCACCATGCCTGGCCCAGACTTTGATTTTGTCACCTCTGCAGCTCTCTCCCTCAGACCCAGGGCCCCACTGGGCAGGTGTGATCTCTGAATTTATAGTCTAGGTGCTGAGGCCCACCAGGGAGAGGACTGGAAGGGTTGCGAGGTCCCTGGGTACCATTTGTACCCAGATGGCGCAGGTGCCGTAGCAGCCTCTGCCCTCATTTGATGTCCTAAGTCCTATGATCACCTTTTCTTCCTATAGCTGATTTTTTTGTTTTTTTTTGAGGCAGGGTCTCACTCTGTCCCCCAGGCTAGAGTGCAATGGCGCAATCTCGGCTCACCGCAACCTCCACCTCCCAGGCTCAAGCGATTCTCCTGCCTCAGCCTCCTGAGTAGCTGGGATTACAGGCACACACCAGTAACGCCCTGCTAATTTTTGTATTTTTAGTGCAGCTGGGGTTCCACCATGTTGGCCAGGCTGGTCTTGAACTCCTGACCTCAGATGATCCACCCAGCTCGCCCTCCCAAAGTGCTGGGATTACAGGTATGAGCTACCGCACCCGGCCTGTGTTGTTTTAAGAGATGGGGTCTCACTGTGGTTGCCCAGGTTGGAGTGCACCAGTGTGATCTTAGCTCACTGTAGCCTCAACCTCCTGGGCTCAATCGATCCTCCTGCCTCAGCCTCCCGAGCAGCTGGGACCACAGGCGTGAGCCACCACGGCTGGCCAATTTTTCTATTTTTGTCAGAACAGGAGTCTTGCTATGTTGCCCAGGCTGGTCTTGAACTCCTGGTCTCCTGGTCTTGAACTCCTGCCTTGGCCTCCAACAGTGCTGGGATTACCGGCGTGAGCCACAGTGCCCGGCTCTCAGCCAGCATTGTGTACTTGCTCTGTGCCAGGGATGCTCCCTGAACCTCTCCCAGTGTCAGGATTCCTCCCATGTTACAGACAAGGAAACTGAGGCACCGCCAGATGCACTCTCTCTTCAGAGGACAGGGTGGGAGGATCAGAGGGGGCACACAGCAGGTCTCATGCCAAACCCCACCTCCTACTTCCTTCCTTTGGAGCTTCTTCCAGTCTGGGCATGCTCCCTGGGGTCTTCCCAGCGTCAAGGTCAGGAACACGGGCCCCAGTTCCCTGCAGGTCCATCAGGACCCAAGACCGTCCACGGGCCTGAGACCTGCTCCCTGCTGCAGTCTGCTGTTACTACTTCTGTCCTGCCCTCCCCAGCGGGCCACTCTGGCACACCTGCACCAAGGTCCACCCTCCACCCGAGGCTCCCAACGCTGCCCGGTACTACTGGAGGTTTTGCCCTGTAGCTGGCACTCTTCTAAGTGTGTGACTTTCCACAGATACCCAGTGAGGTGAGTTGCAGATGAGCAAACTGAGGCTCAAGTCACACAGCCAAGCAGCTCCTCACTCAGGCTTCCTGTCTCTACTGTCTGGCTTCCAAGAACATTGTTCTGCTCACAGCTCTCTCCCTGTTATGTGGTATACTGTAGGTACCCAATTAATGTTTGTAGGTTACTAATTGCTTCCTCACTGAACTAACAACTTCCCATCACTTTGCTTGAGATGCCTGTTCCTAGCTTGCAAACTCCTACTCATACCTCAAAACCCCATTTATAATGCCCCCTCCTTAGGAAGTCTTCCTGACTGCTTGGGAAGACTCCTGGCACCCCTTTCTGGGCTCCCCTAGTCCTCCTTCCTCCCTCTAGCTCGTGGGGCTGGGGTGTCTGTGTCTGGTTCTTTCTCTCCCAGAATGGCCCCGTACAGGTTGAACACAGTGCAGGAAGGGAAGTGCATTAGGTGTACCGTATCCATCCTCCTTCTCTTCCTCCTGTCTCTGGCAACACAAAGGACACTTCCTGGAGCAGGAAAAGTTTTCCTTTTTTATTTTATTAGAAAATAAAGTGTTTATTCAAAGAACATTAAAAGGCCAGGACCTGCGTAGGGTTGGCATGAGGGGGAGGAGTGAATCTCAGGCTCAGCCAGGCTGGGCATGGGGCTCCTCTCCGCGGAGTCTGGGTCTCAAGAAGGCTGGGGTGGGAGGCCCCAGGGTCCCGCTGGAGGGCAAGGGGCGGTCAACCAGCACCAGGGCGCAGTGCAGAGCTGGGAGAGCAGCGTCTGCGGATTCAGCAGCTCACCAGGTACATCCCTGTGGGGGTGTGGCTGTGAGGGGAAGGGTGGGGAGGAGGGGTGCGGGACGGGGAGGGGCGGGGAGGAAGGGTGTGGGAGGAGGAGGGGCGCGAGGGGAGTGCGGGAGGGGGTCCCTTGCTCCCACCCTGGGATGCTTCAGTCATCCTCGTCATCTTCAGAACACCCCCATAACTCATTGTCCCTGCTGCCACTGGGCCCCAGGAGCCCCTTGATGGGGGCAGGGTGGGGCTGGAGGAGGGGATGGCAGGGGGACTTTGAGCTCCCTGGCTTGGGTCCTTTCTTTCTTTCTTTTTTTTTTTTTTTTCTGGAGACAGAGTTTCCCTCCAGTTGTCCAGGCTCAAGTGCAATGGCCCTCACCACAACCTCCACCTCCCAGGTTCAAGCGATTCTCCTGACTCAGCCTCCCAAGTAGCTGGGATTACAGGCATGTGCCACCACACCCAGCTATTTTTTTCTATTTTTTTTTTTTAGTAGAGGCGGGGTTTCTCCATGTTGGTCAGGATGGTCTCAAACTCATGACCTCAGGTGATCCACCCGCCTTGGCCTCCCAAAGTGATGGGATTACAGGCGTGAGCCACCTCACCGGGCCAGCTTGGGTCTTTTCCGGGATGTCTTCCAGAGGCCAGCTCAAGACACATGGGGTCCCGACTCCTTCCCCACCTGTGTCCCCCATCTGCAGTCTCCTGGCCCCAACACCCACCTGTCCTTCCCAAGGATCCCCCCCACCCCTCCCCGCCAGCCCAGGGCTTGCTTGCCCCCAGCCAGGTCCCGGCTCCTGGGGTCCCCTGGCAGCAGGGTTGGGGAGTACCTGTGGCGAACCTCCTCTTCACCAGCGACATGCGGTACCCACTGCCCACAAGCTCCAAGTCCACGCCCGACAGGGTGGCCCCCTCGCTGGTGAACTGCGCGGCCACGGGGCTGGGTGTGCTGGGCCCTGAGAGTGGTTCCCAGCTGGCAGAGAGGCGGCCAGAGCCTGGGGAGGCCTGCGGTCAGCTGTGCCCCGGCCCCAGCCCTAGGCCCAGCTGTGAACCAGGCTCCTCTTTGGAGCCTGAAGCCCTTTGTTCCATGGCCTTCATGTGCCTCATCAGATATCCCTTCCATCCCCTGCATCCGTCTGTCCTGGCATCACTGGGTTTTGTGTGGCTGGCAAGGGGGGCCCTGCCTCAGGGCTTTTGCACCTGCTGTGTCTGCCCATCTGGCTTTTGGGACACCCTCACCCCCACATTTTTTTTTTTTTTTTTTTT